CCACTCTGAGGACCTCAGTTTGGATACTAGTACCCATATCTGGTAACTTAAAATCAGTCATCTGTAACTTCAGCTCCAAGGTGATCCAATGCTCCCTTCTGGCCTCTGTGGGCAGCCATATACCTATATGGGACACACGCACACACACATACACATACACACACATACATGTGAATTTTAAAAATACATATATAAAAAGATGGAGGACATGGAGTTTGGAGGGAGATAGATAGGGTGGGGGTATTAAGATGAGCTGGAAAGAGATAATGATGGATGGATATGATCAGAATACATTGTATAAATGTAAAAAACCCTAGTGTCATGGTGCACACCATTAATCTCAGCACAGGCAAAGTAGAGACAGGCAGAGTTCTGTGAGTTTGAGGCTAACCTGGTCTGCACATAGGCTATGTAGTAAGACCCTGTCTCAGGAAGAAAGGAGGAGAAGGAGGAGGAGGAAGAGAAAGAATTTAAAGAATAAATAAAACGTTATTTTTAAAGGGGGTTTGTCTGGGAGGTGGCAATGCACACCTTTAATCCCAGCACTTAGGAGGCAGAGGCAGGGAGATCTCTGTGAGTTTGAGGCCAGTCTTGTCTACAGAGCAAGTTCCAGGAGAGCCAAGGCTACACAATGAAACCCTGTCTGGAAAAAGAAAAGAGGTGTCCTAGATAGGAAGATAACTCACCTCCCAAAACCTGTAGGTTAATAAAAATCCAAGAGCCAAATGTGGCTATTTCACTGTGAGTTGCTGGTCACGAAGGTAGAGGAGGTCTTAAAACAAGAGCTAATGCTCTTGGGTACCCACCCATACTTGACAACAAAGCCTTTTTAATAAGGACTTTGCATATTTGGCCAAAAAACATGAAGAAATCAGGCTTGTCCCGATATGGTAGCTTCTTCTATGCTGGCTAACTTACACAGACCCAGAAGGTGCTATGCTGGTTGCTGGGGGAAAGGCTTTCAACACCTTACCTAGATGTTAACTCTTCAAAGCACAATAATCATCAGCCTAGCCATGTGTGCCACTGCTGCAACAATGGCATGACAGTTACGGGGGCAACCAACTACTTTCTGATTGGATTTCAGCCCTGCTCCACAAGAAAGGACTCATGGCTGGTACTGTAATCCTATCCAAGAACCGGTGGTTGGGGAGGTCATGGACCACAGATGAAAACCTACTACTATTATTTTGCTAAGTGGACATGGTATTATACTGCCTTCTCAATATTTATCTCTATATGTAGAGATGGTTTAGCTCTCAGTCCTTATCAGACAAGCTTTTCTTCATGGACCACAGTTAACATAGTGACTCATAACTGGCCAAGTGCCCAAAACAAATAACTGTAGATTTTTTTTATTTTAAATAGAAAATCTATATCACTCCCATGCACCAAGGCTCAGGGAACATTGTAGAAGAGGTAAGTGGAAAGATTGTAAGAGCTAAAGATTGGAGAGGACTGCTTCAAAACAATATCGTCTAGATATAAGACATCCAAGGCATTCACAAACTCAGTGTTGCTATGGTTGCCTAAGACCTGCACAAGATGGAGCCTGTCAATATTTCACATAGACGGGAAAGGGGCTTGTGAGACCTCCCCTTCTTCCAGCCATCTTTAGCCTAAGGGAGTCCCAAGGGAAAGGTGTCACGTGTTTCAGTGATGTAACAAGTGATACACTGCCCGCACTCTAGTTTACAATCTACCCATGGGCAGCTAGGCAACCACACTTAAACTCAGTGGGTTACCTACACATGAGACATGGAAGTAAGAGGGGACTCTTTTCTGAAGAATAAAGGTTTCAGGGATGGAGGGTAGGGGAATGAAACATGGTAATAAGGGGGGAAAATGATGAAAATCTCACACATGTATGTATGAAACCATCAAATGATAAAAAAATAAGTAAGTTTTTTTAAAAAATAGACTCCAGTAATCACAGTAGCCATAAAGGAGGTAAGGAAGGCTTGGGCCTTTATAGAACACAGAGCACATTTGCATTTTCAATGACTATGTGTTCAGAACTCTCCATAAGTAAAATCCTATATAAGCAAACTCTTATTACTCAAATATATGTTCATATTTTTACATGACCCAGTTTCCTGAAAATATTGGCTGTTGAATTATTTAAATCACCTTGCATTGAAGAGTTCCTTTTAAAAAAGCTTTCTATTTTGTATATTAACTGTATATAAAATATATATAATTGTATATAAAACAATAGCTCACTTGAGACTTTTGTTTTGAGACAGGGTTCCACTCTGTGACCCAGCTTGACATGGAACTCATTAGCCTATGCAAACCCTAAACTTATGACAATCTTTCTGCCTCAGCCTCCTGAGTGCCAGGGTAAAAAGGGGGGGAAATGATGAAAATCTCACACATGTATGTATGAAACCATCAAATGATAAAAAATAAGTTTTTTTAAAAATAGGAAGAAGTGCTGTGCCCAATCAATGACTGGGACATTTTCACACACAAATATGACCACCTTTATCATATTCACTAGCAGTGATTTTTCTGCAGAAGTCATGATCCTTAAATACCAGTTCTAATGCTATACATTTCAACTCACAATATATAGTACAGAAACGAAGAGGGAATATAGCTGTGCCTTGTATATCTCTGTGTCCTTAATAATAAACCTATATTGATACATGTTTCCAGGTCTTCTTATAAAGAACAAATAAAGCAGAACTCAACACGACAGTTACACAAATTAAATTAGAGCATGAATCTAAAGCCTAGCACTTGGCACCTTGGAAGCATCTAATAAAAACTAGCTATAGCAAACACACACACACACACACACACACACACACACACACACACACACACTCACACACGACTCTAAGCAAAACCTTCCTACAAATGCCTTAAATTCAGAGAATAGCTCTTGTCAGCACCTTGGGTTAGACATTCTATGAACAAATGGGTAGACATTCTATGAATAAACAGGTAAACGAGAGGAGAGGACTTCACCAACCAGTAGCCAATCAGGACACACTCCTCTCACATCACCTCAGGTTAGTTTGAAAGTAGCTTCATGAAATAAAAGCCACCATTTAGTTATTCTTGCTTGGGCACCTCAGATTTGAGAGTTTCACTTGGACCTGGGCATAGTGACTCAGATCTATAATCCTAGCATTTGGAATGTAAGTAGGAGAAGGCTTGATGCAAGTTCAAGGCTAGCCCGGGCTACATTCTGATACCCTTTCTCAATTTCCTCTCTTCAAAAACTTTAACCTTGGTGGCATTGAGTAATCCTATTTATTTCTCCTTGATTAAAAGCAGGTTTTAATTGTGTAGTTAGGCTTAAAGGAGTCTAAAGAATCTCTCCTTTGTTACTTTCACCCTGGCTTGATAACGGTTGACAACAACTGGTTGCTTGGTTGTTGCAGACCCAAAGTAAAACACTTGCATCTCTAAATAAATATTTGCAGACACCCTGGCCTCTAAACTGAAGAGGCTAGGCCCCCTGCTGTTGCGGTTGCAGTGGTCATTGTCTCTGCACTTGGCCCAGTCAACAGTCCTACTTACTGGAAATATGCCTAACTTTCTCAGCCCACAAGAATTTATCAAATCCCAGCTATGTGTTAGACATCACATTTTGTGTCGTGTAATCAAAGCAACCAAAAATAGCAAAGGCCCTGCTCTCATGAAGTTTACATTCTAGAAAATACTTAGGCGACAGGGAGAGATAGATGACGATGATGAAGAAAATGATGCAACGACTAAGAGATGAAGTGGGTGTGGAGGAAGTCTTAGCATCAGGGCTCAAAAAAAAAAGGATGGTAATTTCACCTCTTTGTATTTTTATTTGGAATAGTGAGTTTGAGGGGGGTAATTAAACCTTTGATTTTAGGTGAGAGGGAGTTAATGAGTTTGTAAAATAAACTTCTCTTTTCTCTTGGGAAAACTGTTCTCGCACTAGCTTCATGCACCCTTTACGTGGCCTCCAGGGGACTCTGCATTCATTGAATAAGAACATTGTGGGTTTCTGACTCATAGCTCTCCTTAAGCCCACTTGACCAGGATAGATCTTGAAGCCCATCCAAACGTTCCTATTCTGTAGACAACTATGAACTATGGGACAATTTATGAGGTGGGGTAAAATGCACTATGGACACTATGCATAGGACCTGCCATTTGTACAAAGAGCTTTCAGTACCCCCTAATTCTTGAGGTAGTGACAGAGGCTTCCTTCTTGCTTTATTGATTAAAAAGCAAACAAACAAACACAAAACCCAACTCTCTTTGAAGAAGTATTCAGGGTGTTTCTTTCCCCCTCCCCTAACACTTGGTAAAAAGGATGTAAAATTATACATACATGGACATATATGTATGTATGTATGCCTGATGGCTTATGACTTTGTTTATTTTCCTTGTCAAGTGCTTATAGCACAGAAGTTTTAAAGCGTTTTGGTTCTTTTTGCTGTAAGTGTCACAGGCATCTTCAAATTTCCATCTTGACATATCTTTTGCAAAGTCTTCACTTGACCTGACTGGTGACTCCAGACCTGGCAGAGCGGTTGGTTTTTGCACGGACTGCAACTTCAACACGCAAACCCGATGGCTTTTTGCAGAGCCGGTTTTCAGGCTAAGAGAAGAGATGACTGTTCACTCACCAGTGGGAAAATATTTGTATCATTTCTATGTGTTTCTCTATCCATCAGGTTGCTGGTTATGACTCCAGTATGTGCTAGCAGGTTTTCCCTTAAGTAGGGTTTTGTCTGAAACTATTGGCAGTCATTTCCTTGCCTAAAATTATTTTCCCTTAAAAAAAATGTTAAAAAAAGAAAAAAAATTCCCCGTGATTTGCTCATCTCGGATGTACTACAGAAAAACCCTTCTTGCCTAGCGATTGCTGTTTCCCTCTTTAAGGTCTTTTACAAATGGAAACATTAACTGACCGCCCAGGGTCCTTTTAGTTTTATTCTCCATGCCATACACTCAACTGAAGCAGGCGGACATCTGAGCTGAAGAAGCGGGTGGAGGGCAAGGAGCAGAGGGTGTCCTGTTGGCTACAGGCTCCTGCTGACTGCTGGCGAGCGGGTCCGGGTTAACACCAACGCAAGGGTCAGCGCCCTCTGAGTTGGGGGCCTCAGGCAGAGCCGCGACGACTCCTCCTTTGCTTGACCAGAGACCCAGCAGTGCCGTTTCCCCCAGTGGTGAGGAACCACCTAGTTTGCCGCGATCCATTGGTTGTTGCTCTGCCCAGCGCAGCTCCGGCTCCTCGGAGTAGGGCTCCAAGCAGACGAAGCTCGGCAGGCTAGAGGAGAAGCCCAGACCTGGGGCTGGAGAAGGGATGAGGGGCTGGGAGGCGGGGTGGGGGGATTTCCTCCCGCACTCCCCTCTCCAACGGGAGCGGAAAATGTGATTTGCTGTGCATTCCAGGCGCGGTTCCCTGGGGTGACCTCTCCCACCCAGTCGGGCGGGGGGAGTAGACAAAGAGGCGAGGCGGGCGGAGAGGGGACCCCGCAGGGAAGCAGGAGGGGTACAGTGGGCGGGGGCAGTACCGGGAAAGGGGGCGGATAGCGGGTCCCGCAGTGGCGACGGTGCCTGACCAATGGAGAGAGGCGGCCCCGGGCGCCGCGCTTAGCCAGCGGCATTTAAACAGGAGATCCGGAGATGCCCGACACTCGGTGCGCCCTTCGCGGACCTGGAAACCCAGCGCACTGCGGTAGCATCACTCTCCATCGTTCCTCCCGCACCGAGCAGAAGTGGCTCGGGCCGTGGTCGCACGCAGGGCCACGAGTCCACAGAGAAGGACCTGGAGACCCACAGCACTGACAGGTGAGCGGGGTTTTGTGTGTGTGTGTGTGTGTGTGTGTGTGCGCGCGCGCGCGCTTGCTTATGCGTGCTCTAGTACCTAGGCTAGTCAAGGGATCCCCAGGGTCCATACCACTCCAAGTCCTTCTCAGTTGTGGCATAGTCCCTTGGTGCACCAAAATCCTGGAGTTCCCTGGGGTGCGCCTGGAAGAATTCGAGCCTGGTGCTTTCTGTAGCGGAGGTAGATGCGTGGTGATTTCGCTGCGCTGGGTCTGCGGGGGCGAGGGGGGAAGTAGGGAGAGGAGGGAGATGTCAAGAGAGTGCATCCCGTTTCTATTTGTCCAGCAAACCCGTCTGGGTGCTTGAAGCACAGAGCCAACGGGAGTTGCCAGCCAGGATAGCCGGGTATGTGTGAGCAGAAACCGACCTTGCTACAAGTTGCAACCGGAGATAGTGTCAAGGATGGAGTGCGGGGCTAGGTCTGGGGTGTCTGTAGGGGCGGCGGTCCCAGAGTACTGAGTGGTAACTGCTGCGGACTTGAGAATTGGTGGCATGTGCGTTTATGGGTATGGCAGATGTGATGGAGAGTCAGGTAAGGCAGAATCCGCCACGCTTAGCAACCTGGAAGAGTCGGGGGTCCAGTATCTCCTCGTAGCTAGAGCGCATTGCTGCCTGCGGTGCTGCTGCGGCACGCGCCACACACTTGTGCTAGCGGTGCGCAGGCCTGCGGGTGGCTGTCTGTTCTGAGCCTCTTGGGTTCCATGCTCTCATCCGTCTTCTGCAGACGAACAGGCGCCGGGCAGCCACCACCGGCTGGTTCCCACTTCCCCGGATGCCGGCTGATCGGTACCCGACAGGCGCTCGTCTCGCCTCGCTGCACCTCGCTAGCAACTCCGCTCTAATATCCACATCGCATCTGCTCCTTGCTGGCTCCTAAACCATTTCAGTGAGCCCTCTCTAGATAGAGTGGAAGGCTAGAGAGAAGAGGACATCGATGTGGCTGTCATCTCCCTGGTCCTAGTTATTTGCAGAATTCTAGTTTGGAAAGAATAAACTCGCTACAGCTCTGGACTGGCTGTTTGCCCCCTGGCACGCTTCAGCTTAGTATTTTCCTATGCCCGGCTCAAGCAACGATCCGCCAGCAAGGCTGGCGAGGACGTGAGGTGATCACCCTTTTCTGGGGATACCTTTCTGAGAGCCTAAAGTGGTTTGCTGGTCTAGCTCAACAGCCCTCTTCTTTTTCTCAGCCGAATCCAAATCCCTAGTCTTTGATGGAGAAATATAGCCTAGAAGTGAGGGGTTAAAATCTCCTCCCAACTGTTGGAGGGCAGAATGACGACCATCAGTAGGTAATTGGATCTCTTGGTGGAAAGAGCAAACCCAAGCGGTGCGCAGGTCTGTTTATGTTCCCTTGAGATGGTGCCAGGATACGAACTGATTAAAACAATCTATTGTGTTCAATGGGTCACCAGGGCTTTAAGCTGTCCCTGCGACTCCAGAGTGGTGGTTTCCTTCTGACTGCTCTTACAAGTTAAATAAATAGCGTAGAAGAGGTTAAGATAACCTCATCTCAGGGTGAGGAGTCTTCTTTCACCCCATGGCTGCCCTCCCTCCCCCCCTTTTCTTTTTGGGACAAGGCAGACAGCACAGGGGACTTGGGAGTATGGGCTTTTCAAAGCAAAGAGGGAAAAGGATCTTAAGAAAACAAGATCCTCCCTCACTACCACCCCAACCAAGTGTACAGATGTAGGTGCTTCCATTATTCTCATCGGATACGCTGTACAGTTGGATTTGTTAGATGTTACCAATTATTTAAGGGTTTTGTGTGTGTGTGTGTGTGTGTGTGTGTGTGTGTGTTTAACCCCTAGGTCACTGTAGGAATTAGAGTCTTTTGTAAACTTTGTAATTTCACAGCTTTCTTATTTTCTTTAAAGTTCACTTTGAGTGAAATGTTTTGGTAACCTACAATCTGTAGGAAATCCAGGTTGGCTAATGTGGCTTTCACGCCAGTGCTTGTACAGAGAAGACCAGAAACACATTAAGTCCTCACATCTCTCAATGTCCACCTCCTGCCCTTCTAAACTGAAGCTCTTGGTGACCTCAGTCTTAATTTGTACAGTATCCAAAGTGATAGAATACAAAGAAACCCCACACCCTAGACTTCTCCCCCAAGAAGTGCTTGGTGGCAGCACAACTCTGGAGTACATCCCAAAATACAAAGCCAGAGATGCACAGGGAAACTCTAGCCTTTTATGTAAAGAGAAGAAGAGGGAGGCAGTTAGGAGCAGTGACTGCAGATTTCACTGAAGGCATTGACCAGTCAAGGGCTACCAGCCCATGTCTTACATCTGCAAAAAATTTCCTTTAGTTTTAACATATGTTCTTAGAAATGCAAAGTACAACAGGAATTCCTGTGACAAGAGAAGTCCTTTCCTTCGCATGCAAACGTGAAGATACGAAATAGATAATTATTAGATTTACAATATTCTTCAAAATTGATTGCATTAGAAAGCAAATCCACATGTTCCTTGTTAAATGTACTGTGCTGGATGTCATTGGCAAAGTGACTAAGGACATGTTTGGTGTTAGACAGAACTGGGCTCACATCCTGCCTATCCACTTTATAAACTATGTGACCTTGGATGGATTCCTGGTTAATAACAGGAAGACATTATTATATACCTCATATTTTATTGTGACATTACATGGACAGTATTTAGCATAATGCTTGACATAGTAAGGGCTCAAAAATGAGAGGTACCTTTTTATTAGTGGCTGTGTTGGGCAGGAGAGACCAGAGGGTGATTTTGAATTTAAGCTCAAGTCCCACTTTCTACTTACATAGCTTCTGTTACAAAATGCACCGTATCACCCAGCCATCATTCACTTCCTGTTGATACAAATATTGCATACAATCATTAACTTCACTAAAACATACATTTTCCAGGGAACTACAGAAGATATTTAACTACCAGGTGTCTCCTTCCCATTCTGTGTCGTGTTAGGTTCCAGCCTGACTTAACCCGAATAGGCGGGTTATAGTTAAGAGATTGCAACATGCAGGAAATAAAATTTATGATGTGTGCTAATCATTAATTTTTCTTATCTCCTTGATGTAACTTGTCTGAGAAATAAATCAACCTTTATTCTTATTAAGGAATTTCCCAGTTAATTTCTAAAGGCTGATTCTAAAATTTAAATTAAAGATCTAACTAAAGCTAACCTTTATTTTTCCTAAAGATTAATGCCCAAGGGAAAAAGAAAGGAATTTTGCTACAATCCAGCTAGCTCATAAGGCCTTTGCAGTCAATTCCAATGTGTTCTATGCGGAGAGAATGAGCTGATGTCCTTCTTGTTGCCTGTCTTTCTAAGGGTTTGTCAGCAGCAACCATGGACTAGTTCAGGTACAGGTATCTGAAGTTCACTGTAATTCCTACCAGAAACCGCATTTAACTCACTGAGCAGGTTGCTTGGTTAATGTGAGAGTCACAATGAGAAATACGCTGAAAGGAACTGGCTCTAGATTTCCTAAATACACCAAGAACATTGGAAACAAGTCATCCGTTCTATTTGGATTTCCAAGTCTCCAGAATCTGAAGACTATTCTTAGTGCTTTTGTGAAATTTTGGATAGATTACCAGGGCAGAGGTGGTTACTATGGCGTATCTTGCTTGTAGGTGTTTATTCTTGAACACCTAGGGAACAAGTGGGAGGCAGTGAATACCTGTTTTGAGGGACTGTCCATTGAGATAAGTGATTGGAGGAGGGCCGTGGCAAAGGGAAAGGAGACAAAGGGAAAGGAGAAGTGAAGTTTGCTGGCAGAGAAGGGTTTCAGAGAAAGCTCACTTAACAGCAGAAACGCATGAAGGGTGATGATAAGGTGGAGTTTGGAATGAAGACTCACACCGTCTGTAAAGGAGAACCAATGCTCGCTGGGTGTGATGGTTTACTCTGAGTTCATGGGATGCTACCCAATGCAATAACGTGAACAAATCATTTTATGAATGGAAATCACTATGGAGTTAATGATTGGACATGGGTGGCAAGAAACGGGGACCTAAATCTGGACCAGCATTTGGGTTGATTTTGAGTGATTCAGAACACTGCTAGGGGTCTGCGTGGAAAGAATGGTCCTTCAGGAAATCCTGTCTTCTTTATTTCTTGACATCAGTAGTAGGTATAAGGCACTGTGCATTTGGCGGAAACACAGTTGCAATTTCAAGAGGGGAAACTCCTAATTCCCTGATAGAGTCATCAAGGCTAGTTGGTAGGGGGCTTAAATGAGGGAATGCTGACTGACAGAGCTTGGCTTCAGCCGTTCCTGTGTTGCTCCTTCCCATGCCCTTTCTCAAGGGGACCACCAGGACGACCACCAGGAGCACACTGGCAATCAGCTTGAATCAGTGCAAGAGTGGCTTCTGTTCTCTGATGTTCTATGAGGATTTTTGTTTGCTTGCTTTTGTTTTAAAACTTTTTTCTGAAACACTGTAAAGTTTAAGAACTTGAAAGCCTAACAATAAACATTAAATTTTTAAGAGAAAAACCATTTTAAAAATGGAAAAAATACTTTCTACACCCAGTAAATCTTAGTTTGAATTTTTTCTTTTCTTTTTTCCTTTAATGACATAGGAACAGAAAGTTTTCCCAAATGAAACCCCAAACTATAGTCAAGTAATTGTGAATCTATTGCTTTATTGTTAGGTTAAAACAAAATTCATAGTATCTTGCACAGGACCAAATAAAGACTTGAGACCATTTGGGGATTTTTCTAGAAGAAAAAAGACAAGTATTATAGGAAGCTGTCTAGATCTGTCCCGAGTGTCAGGAACCAAAGCCCCCGCAGTTAGCTCACACCTAGACACCAGTCACAGTACTTTTAAATGCAAAGAATAGAAATTGTATCAAATTTATGTGGTATAAATCAACCACTTAACAAATATTAATAAGCTCCTCCTCAGCAGTAGGCACAGAGGGTCAGATGATGCATTGGCCCTCATCAACTCTCAGAATAGGTATCTGTTCTATAGCAGATGCAAATATGCCAGGAAAGAGCAGTTCAGTCTATAAGCCTGAGTCCTGAGTTAGTCGGGAAAAATAAATTGCAGCTTTGTGAATGGATCTTTGTAGAACAGTATGGCCCCGTGACATAAATTGCTACATGCATTCAAAATACATCCACAGTCATCTTCAGGTTGGCCTCTGTGGCTGTGGACACTGAGACTCTGGGCCTGGGAGGAGTGAATTGGCTTGGAGGTTATTTATTATTATTACTATTATTATTATTATTAGTTGTGGAGGAAGATTACCAACCTAGGTCTGGGGCCATCTATGTAATATCCTCCTAAAATTAGCAATGAATATGTTTTATTTTAGCTCTTGGCCTTTTAGTGTGGATGCTGGCCCTCAACTGAGAGACATCAAAAACTTGTGACAATGTCTCAGATTTGCATTATAGTCTCTGGAAGACAGAGTCGTCATGGATCAAGTTCCCTGGGCCTCTGGAGAAAAATCTGTACTATTTTATAACTGGACTATTTTCATAAGTGATGTTTTATAAGACAAAACAAAGCAATTAATTTTTTGTTGTTGTGGTGGTCAACATGGCTCTGTTTAAAGAACAGGGATGTTGTAACATGGGCTAACAAAAGCCAGGGAAGCTACAGTTGGAACAGGAGTTAAATGTCACATTATCAGCTCCAAACTTGAAGCCGCTCCAAAGCATTAAGTTAATGTGGAAAAATGATGCATTTAAGAATATTTTTAATGCAACATTCAATTATCTTAGTTTGACATTAGCCTTAGGGTTGAATGGTCCTCACTTGCCAGAAGTTGTCCCTTAAAGAAGGTACGTCTTACCCTGCTTTTGTCCCTTAACGATGATTAGTCTAGATAATGATACCAGCTCGTCTGGTTTCTTGGAGACTGAGGTTACATTAAACGAGGTTATATTAATAAGCACTTAGTGGTCATCACATGCAATACCGGTATTCAGCCAGGAGAAAATGGATGCTTCACAGCTGTGGTCTTGTGGAACAAACCGTAGGCATGGGGCAGAGCAAGCCTTAGGGCACTGCCATGCCCAGAAGAGAGCCTATGAGTTTGAAACTGTTCTCACTGAAAAGAAAATCCTTCGACGTTTTAATCACTCCTAGTGTGCCCCATGCCAACAAGTGTTACAGGCCTCGAGCTGTGGGGAAAGACCAAGAGACTGAACCAGTGTGGACATATTAACAGTTCCCCGGATGACAGCAGCCAGGCCACGCAGGCTGTCTGCTGCCCCTCTTTCCCTTCTCCTCCTGTCTGCCCTGTCTTTTCTAAACAACCCTGCCTCTGAAAGAGTCCCCTTTTTTTCTGATTTGCTTTGTCCATTCCATTCATGTTCCTGTCTCTCCATCTGGACTTCTTCCTGCCCCCTCCCAGTTTTGCTTGACTTATTCCTCTAATAAATATTATATGTTTGCCATATATGAATCCTATGGAGGTCCAGACTTGCTCACAATTTACTGTCCTCAGTGCCTTTGATACTTACGAACATAAATGTTCACCCACTTATTCTACTGTGCCCATTTTCTACCTTTATTTCTTCATTCACTTTTATATATTTTAGATGTAATTATCTACACACAAAATATACACGTGAAGGGCTGGAGAGATGGCTCAGTGGTTAAGAGCACTGGCTGCTCTTCCAGAGGTCATGAGTTCAATTCCCAGCATCCACATGGAGGCTCACAACCATCTGCAATAAGACCTGATGCCCTCCTCTGGCATGCGGGCATACATGGAGGCAGAATGTTATATACATAATAAATAAATAAATCTTTAGAAAATACACATGTGACATGGACACAGAAGAAGGGCTATTTCGGGGGAAGGAAGGACACAGGAAAGCAGTGGGGGAGATAGAAATAAACACTGCATCATGACAGATATGTATGAAAATTCATATTGAAACTCATTTTTGCACAGCAACTTAAATATTAAAATCAAAGAAATTAAAGGCCTACTGGTCAACTAATCAGACAAAAAATTTCTATGCATACATAAAGACCCATAGGTGAGTGACATATTCCACCACTTAAAAAGGTACAAAAGTGGAGGATGCAGAGATGGCTCAGCAGTTTAGAACACTTTCTGTTCTTTCAGATGACCTGAGTTCAGTTGCCAGCACCCACACTGGGTAGATTACAACTGTCTATGGCGCCAGTTTCAGTGACTCTGAGACCCTCTTCTTCCCTTCGCCCGGGCACACATGACATAAATGCACACACACGATGTAAGCACACGAGAGAGAGAGGGAGGGAGGGAGAGAGAGAGAGAGAGAGAGAGAGAGAGAGAGAGAGAGAGAGGTCATGGCACAAAGAACGACACGAAGCATCTCTGTCCTCTTACCTCTTGTCCAATGGCCTTCCTCTTTCCTCTTAGGATGTTCTGTCACAGGCCTCTTGGTCTCTTTCCAATGCCGGAATAGTGAAAAGTCTCATGCTGTCAAATTCAAGAATAAATACAGTTAAGTGAACATTAAAAAGATCACATGCGATTGTGTGAGGAACCACTCGGGAGTTAGTGCATTGAAGAGACGGGCCCTGGCTGAACTTAAAGCTTGGCAAATTCACTGCGTGACTGTATTGAATTATTCAGTTTGATGAGCGAGAGAGGAACAGGAATAATAGAATCTAATAGCTAGTGATAATGTAAGAAGGCAGTGCAACTTAAGAGTGTAGTGAGTACGATATAAGATGTTAGGTGCAATTAGTAATTTTTATTAAATACCTTCCTCATTGTCTGTGTCTCCTCTTCTTTGCATCCCTCTTCTAGAATGAACCGCACCGCCTATACTGTGGGAGCTTTGCTTCTCCTCTTGGGGACCTTGCTACCGGCAGCAGAAGGGAAAAAGAAAGGGTCCCAAGGAGCCATCCCTCCTCCAGACAAGGCTCAGCACAATGACTCCGAGCAGACCCAGTCCCCACCACAGCCTGGCTCCAGGACCCGGGGGCGGGGCCAAGGGCGGGGTACCGCCATGCCAGGAGAGGAGGTGCTGGAGTCCAGCCAAGAGGCCCTGCACGTGACAGAGCGCAAGTACCTGAAGCGAGATTGGTGCAAAACTCAGCCCCTGAAGCAGACCATCCACGAGGAGGGCTGCAACAGCCGCACTATCATCAACCGCTTCTGCTATGGCCAGTGCAATTCCTTCTACATCCCCAGACACATCAGGAAGGAGGAAGGCTCCTTTCAGTCTTGCTCCTTCTGCAAACCCAAGAAATTCACCACCATGATGGTCACGCTCAACTGTCCTGAGCTACAGCCACCCACCAAGAAGAAACGGGTCACACGCGTGAAGCAGTGTCGCTGCATATCCATCGATTTGGATTAAGCCAAAGCAGGCGCATCCAGCCTGTCATAGCCATGCCGAGAGCCACACCTAAACCACCCGATTCCTACTTGGCTTAAACCTAGAGGTCAGAAGAAACAGCAGTTGCTTCCCGACTGGAGGCTGCTTATGCATAGTGTATGCGCATGAGTGTGCATGGGTGTTGTGTGTGTTTCCAAACACCAGCGGAAACAACCTCTACTAGAAGGCACTTCCTGTTACTCTGCTTCAGACGGTGGGAAACGCCCACACCACCGGACCCAAACCCACAGGGGCAGGGCTGTAGTTGGCTTTGCCTTTGTGTTCCATGCGCCCTCCTGGGCACCAGAACTTCACTTGAGAATGAATACTAACGAAGAGGTAACTCCGAGGGCTGCATTAGACTTGGAACCGTTCAGTGTTTGCTCTTTTCTCCCACAACCTATCCCTTTCTTTGCTCTCCCTGATATCTCAGCCTTAGCCCATGTCCCTAAATTAATGCATTTGATCATGGGTGTAAATGTTTCCCAACCTGTGATGAACCTCCAGAATGTGAGGAGACGGTGATGGAGGACAAACGAGATGGAGGATTGACACAGGAGCGTTGAGGCTGAGCACCAGTCTGGGACACTGAAATTCAGTATTAAGATGTCCAGAGTTTGAAAGCTGTTCTCCACAAACAGTGTGAGCCTTACTTTGTGAAAGACTTTTCCTGATATTTAAAAGAACCGAGATGCACGGAAGTGAAATATAATCACACACACACACACACACACCCCAATTTTCTGTGTCTGTCTCTGTAATCTCCTATCTGTAACCCAAAATTAAAAGTGAAATATTGACCACTCCTGTTTTAAGAACCAAGCGAGCGAAACAGAAAGAAACATGGCCTCCCTTTTTACTTTGCCTCTCAGGGGGACAAGTGAGAGTCTTGCACACTGGGATAGGAAAAGACAAAAAAAAAAAAAAAAAAACCAACCCTCCTTAGCTTAGTTTTGCTGGATTAACATTGCTTTTCTGTTATTCCTGCGAAATGCTTCTGAGAGGCACAACACTGTGCTAACAATCCTGCCTTTGCTCAACACCTCTGCCAATAAGGAGTTGTCTAAAATGAGAGAGCTCCTTTTGAGTTAGACACGCATGGCGGCTTTTCTGTTTTGACTCTCGTTAGGGAAGGACCAGAAAGGGGGCAGAATCAAAGGAATTGTGGCCGGCTAGGTAGTGTCTGGAGGAGAGCTAAGGGCGGAGACTGCTTCTAGGAGGTCTATGAGAAAGTTCCATTAGGACAGCAGAGCACTAGGTATATTAACAGGCTATCTATTCCCAGTGGGTCAACTGGGCATTGCAATCATTATGCCTCAATGGTTGTCCTCTGAATACTTCTAGGCTCTCCAAATGCCTACTTAGCACTTATGTAAGGGCCAAAATGAAAGGTAGCCTTGATACATTTTGGCCTGGCTAAGCAACACTCCTTTAAGACTGAGATTCTAGCTATAAATGCCCTTTTTTTGTCTTTTCCTCTCAGAGTCCCTAGTTAAGTTATGTGTCATTTGGAATGTGTCATTCACTGCCCATCAAAGCTGCCACAGTCAAAGAACCATTGGATGTAAAGAAACTATTTTGGTCTAGCTCTCTCCCATGGGACATCTACATGGAAACCATGCTGTAAGACAAAAACCTCCTTGAACCCCCAAAACACTGGGTCTCATTTTGAAAGTTGAAAAGTCGCTGCTGATGATTCCATAGTAGATGAGTTTGTGCAAGCCAAGTGTGCGTGTTTCATTGGTACTGTATGCTCCTTCCCTGAATCTTTGTGTCATTCACACGCACCACCCACGGGTCACAGGATGGATGTAATTTGAGCCCACAAATGCGAAGGCAAAGGTTTGAGGGAAGTGAAGAAAACTAAAAGAGGAAGAAACTAAACATTTAGAACCACACCAGAGAAGAAAGGTGACATTCAGTGCTAAAACACACTGAGTCTTAATTCTGCCACAAGCATGCACTATTGTTATAAAGTAAGAGTTAGGTTGGCGGCCACAGTCACCTTCCAGGAGCTTAGACAATAGTCTCTCATGTAAGCTGGATTTGGTTCACGTGAAGAGGATTGCCTCAAAATGAACTTCACAGGAACAATCAGCTGCATAAGTAGCCTTAAAGCACATCATTGACCAAAGAGGGAAATGCCTGCCTTCCTCACCATGCTTAGACCAAGACCCTCACAAATTCATGTCCTTCCGTCACTTATCAGAGATGCTCTGTCTGTGGCTGAGTTTGGACTCATCAGTGACATGATGATGTGTGTTTTCTCCAACACTGTAGTAAAACTGTTTTATGGTAAGATAGTTGTGATCTTGATCTTACCTATTAAAATAATGCCAGATACCAAATATGAATTTTCTGGTGTTCTCTTTGTGCTTGGTACTGAAAGAGAGAAACCACACACCTTGTAAGTCTGAGTGCTTCTGCGCAGCTCTCCTCTTCACAGCTCAAAGGTATAAGCGAAAAATCTGGAGGGAAGGATAATTTCCACCGTGTGGAATGTGAATAAACAAAAAGTTATGGTTATTTAATGTAATTATGAATTCAAGTCCTTTGGTTACTGTGATTTCAAACATGCTTTCTTTCTCTATTTTATATGACGACCTCTGAGTTGGGCAAAGAAGAAACTGGCCATTGTACGTTGTTAGGGACTTTTGTCAGGTCAGAGGGAAACGCATGTTGTCACATATGAAGAGATGTTACCGAGTCAAGGATGAACTTGCATTCTTTAAAATTGGTTGTTGCTTGAAGGTTGACACTTCTGAAACATTTTATGGAAGACTTAAGTGTTATTTTGAGATACTTAAAATGTACGTATACAACCAAATCAAATACATATGAACAGAACATTTCTAACTGAGAAATCCGAGCTGAAAGAAATTCTATTGATTTGCCATTCCTCAAGATATTTAACACCATCTACATTGTGTATTTAATCTGCTTTAATCATTTTTAAACAATAAAGGATATTATATAGGCTATGATCGAACTACCTTGCTATGGATGAGGGTGAGGTGGGATTTAATGGTCTCAGAAAAGCTAATTTGGCTTAAAGTTTTATGAATCTGCAATTAGAATTTTATTTTCACCCTAATAACATACTATCTAACTGTTGCAAAAAAAGCAATCAATAAATTAAACCTCTTCTTTTTGTGTATGTGTGTTTGAATTTTAATGTGGTGGTTGTCTCTCAGTAGGGGCTAGGGGCAGGGAGGCGGGCAGGAAAGGGGTCAGGGATTCACTTGACCCAGAAAGGAGGAAGAAGCAAAGTACAACGAGCTCTCTTGTTTTAAGATGAATCTATCCAATACACCCAGATCGTTCTTCCGTCTGTCCTTCCTTTCTTCCTTTTTCGAAAGATTTATTTATTTGATGTGCGAGTGCTTTCTCAGCAAGTATGCCTGCACGCCAGAAGAGGGCATCAGATCCCATTACAGATGGTTGTGAGCCACCATGTGGTTGCTGGGAATTGAACTCTGGTCCTCCAGAAGAGGAGTCGCTCCAGCCCCTTCCCAGATTTTTCTGATTCTCTTTGATTTCCATAGTTACGCCTCAGACCCAGGCAGTTAAAAACAAAGGCAGCTGACTTGAGACTGAATCACCAGCGGTCTCCCCATTCAGCTAGATGGTATGGTTTTGACAGAGGCCAACAGAAAGCAGAGGGCTTGACACACAGATTTGATAATAGCCTTGTTACAGAGGGCTAAGGAAGAAAGATGATGAGGAAGGTTTGCATTTATTAGAGAAAAGAGTTGTTACGAGAAGAGCAATCAGCAGTACCATGGGCTGACTTGGGGAAGGCAAACTTGATTTTCTTGGAAATGTTTAAAATGTACTAGATATCAATCCATAGGAATACAAGGAAAGTTAGTTCTCTGAAATCATGTAAGTTTCTAGGAGTTCATCTCTGCCTGGACATACAGTATCCTGTGGCATTGGTTAGCTGACAGCAGTTACCAAATCCCAGCAACCAGGTATGGAAAGTGCTAACATTGCACACTGTGCTAAGAGGTTGATTTGTGTTGTTCCACAGTTCTCAGGACAGCTCAATGAGGAAGGCACGGTTATCCTCCCTAAGAGAAAGACCTCATGTGATCTTATTGTAAGATTTTTCAGTAGAAGTAAAGGTAGCCAAAGAAGTATAAATTGTAAGTATTTTCCTCTCCTTAACAAGAGAAAGCAGACCCAACTATTGATTGTTGTTTAAGGACATCCATGCTTCTACTAGGCATGAACAGGAGCTCAAGCTCAGAAGCACTAAGCTGAAGCTGCCCACCCCTTCCCCCTTTTTGTATACTTGGGGCGTGGGGCATGGGCTGGAACATTCAGGGGCTTCAGGAAAGCCACATTCAGGCGGCAACATTTGAAAAAGACTGGAAAGTGGAGTGAACTCAACACAGAAGAGGGTCGTAGACTCGACACTTTGTCTGCCACAGAAGAGTAAGGCATCTGAGAGTGGATTAGCAGAGACTAATTTCTAAATTCACGCTGTTCTCCTGCCTCTGTCATTTTTACTACTGGCTCTATAAGCGCTTGTCACTGTGCGCATACACGGCAGATAAACAAATTCTAAAGAAACAGAAAAGCTAGAAACATGAGATATTGGTAACCTGGAAATAACAAATCAGGGAAGAATTATGAAAAATAGAAATTGTAAGGTTGGAAAACTAGTAGCTAAAATGAAAACTCATTAGAAGGGCCCAAAAGTAGATTTGACCAGCTAGAAGATCAAACATGAGAAAGGAGAAAGAGGGAAGGGAAGGAGGGAAGGGAGAAGAAATTCAAATAGGAAAACTCTAATCCCAGCACTCAGGAGGCAGAGGCAGGAGGATCTCTGTGAGTCTAAGGCCAGCCTGGTCTCTATGGTGAGTTTTAAACCAGCAAGGGCTACATAGAGAAACCCATATCAAACAAACATACAAGCAAAAACCCAACCAAACAAGCAAAAATCAAAACGAATAACCCAGATATGAAAGAGAAAATATCACTCTTGACCTTAGAAAAATATTTTTAAATACATTATAAAAACACTATGAACTGTATGAAAACATGGTACATAAAAAAAAAAAATAGCTCATGGGCTCCGGGGAGGCAGCACTGAATACCACTACAAAGAACAAAAATGTGAAGGAGAGGTGGGAAAGACTGAAAAACGAAGCAGTGTGCTCTATTGAAAGACGCGAGCTAAAGACTTGATGGAGGTGACCAGGGCTGACTCCTGGCCAAGCCCTCTTCTTGACTTTGGGGAACCTTACAGATGCGATTTCCTGCTCTCATGGAGCTTGGAGTTGCCTGGTAAAGACAGATGTCAGAGAGTCACTAATGATAAGAAGGACTGCTTTGGCGCCGGAAAAAAATGGCCTGGTACCTTATATAGAAAGAAGCTGCTTTGGAGACCCGACTCTGGAGACTAACTTAAGTTCAGATTGGGCCTCCAGCACTGGGTAGCGGTGGGCCGCGCGTGACAGACAGAGAAGAGATCCTGCCCCCCACCCCCACCCCCGGTCCCCCCGCCACTTGCAGCCACGTGGCACAGATAGGGCAGCTACCACAACCATGAACAAGTACGTGGTGGAGAGATGGTAGGAGAAAGAGAAGTGGAAGGGTTTGAGCACTATGAAGAGATTTGGACGCTAGATGTAAGGGCGGTGAGCAACAGCCAGTGCTGCCACCTAAGGGCCATGTCTGGGTCTGTGGGCCCACAGCCATAGGGTTCTCTGTTGATGGCCATGGCCCGTGTTACTACCAAAGGCTATGCCGATGCCCCTGGTCTGGGCTGCCACCTGGGACAGTGTCAACGTCCGAAGGCTGAGCAGAGCCTGAGCATAGCCTGAGCAGAGGCCCTGCCCCTTACCTGGACAGAGCAGGAGAGATGGTCCCACCTACCCACCCTTGATCCTCTCGCTGCCTGTGGCAGGCTGGAGAGCTGGCCCTGAGAGCGGGAGAGACGGCCTGGTCCCTCAACAGCTACAGCTCTCACGAGTACGGACCCTGCACTCTTCTGGGCAGCACAGTAGAGCTGGCCCTGAGGGGTAAGCGTGGGAGGAGAACCAGTCCTGACCCTTGCCTGCAGCCTAAGGCAGGAGAGTTGGAGTCTCCCTTCACCCAGGCAAAGTGGGAGAGCAGGAGGACTTACCAGTTCAATTACCACTCAGGCCCAGACTCAGGGCTTGGAATTGGCCCACCCCAGTATCTCCTCCATTTAAGAACTGGAGCATTTGAAGGGGCTGGTTTTACAGATTCAAAGCTGCAAGATCTCCACCACACGGGGCATCAAGAGGCTGTGAGAGGAGTCCTAGCGAGGACCTAGTATTGATGGTGTAGCAGAAGCCAGAGGCCTTAAACCAGACCAATGACTTATCGCAATGAACCTTTGCAAGCAAAGCTATTTGGACAAAAGGGTGTGCTGGGTGACACACTGTGACCCACAGCTCTTTCCATGAGGAGATTTCTTTCCTCCCGGGGCGGGAGGTTGCAAAGGTAGATATGGAGGGACTGGGAGAGGAGTGGGATTGGGGTGCATGATGTGAAACTCACAAGGAATCAATAAAAAGTCTTTAAAAATAGCAAAATAAAAGGTCTGTTTATACCTTTTTGTCTTCTATAAATTTTATTCAGAGTATATTAACAGTTTAGGAAAGTTCAATTTACGAACAGTAAACCATTAGAAACCTTCTTAAACATTTTGATAATAGCTAGCCTAACTATGGATTATAGGCTCTGATGACAAATTCTAACTCTTTCTCCTTCTTTCCCTTCTAGTTCATGATTGGGCAAGCTGACTGAAAGGCCGCCCAGTGCGGCAATAATGGAAGATGGAAGACTTTGCCTTAACTCTCTAATTACCATAAATCCCCAGCAAGTCTTTTCTCTCTGCTTTCCCAAGCTATGTTCAAGCAGAAGAGGAGTTAACAGTCTTTTGTCCTCTTTGGATTTGTGTGCACCATTATCAGCTAAACAACTGAACCAAACTTTAGGGAGGAGTCGACAGTGTTTATGAGGTGTCCATAACACCTTTACACACTCAAATTACCAAAAATTGCTGTAAGTAGAACTGAAAGTCTGAATTTAGCTATCATAAGCAAAGAGTCTAAAGTAACAAAGTTTTTCTGGAAAGTTAAGCCCACCTAGAATGACTTCACCACTCATATAAGCTCTTGACCAACTTATCCCTGAACATAGAGGTGATAAAAGCCAGGAAGTGGTGCAGTGGGTAAAAGTGTTTGCTGATGAGCCTGACCACCGAAGTGAGATCCTAAGGCCCATATGGTAGGAGAGAACCAAGGCATGAAAGTTACCTTCTGATCTCCGAATGCATGCCTTGTCCACACACACACACACACACACACACACACACACACACACACACACCACATGCAGACATACCCAACACACATACATGTACGCATGCACACACACAAATATAATTTTAAAATTAAAAATAGAAGAGTAAACACTTCTACCCCATTCTGTAAGGCCAATATTACTTTGATATAAAATTTATGGTACACTATGAAAATACAGCTATAGGCCAGCATCCCTTACGAATATTGATGCAAAATACTAAGTAACTGAATTCATCTTTCTCTATACAAATAATGTAAACACCATTACCATGTAGTTATGCCCCAGTTCAGGGTTTATTTATTATGCTAATGGGATGCTGGACAGAAACTACATAGTTATGCAATAAAGCAGACAGACAGCTCATTTGACAGACCTTAACACCATCCATGTTACAAACACTCAACACATTGGAGAGGAACCTTCCCACCTAAAATATGTCATCTGTGAAAAGTCCACACTGACACTCAATAGTAAACCACTAAGAGCCTTATTCTTTAAGAGAAATAGTTAACAGGAAATCTTTTCCCCCATTTCTGTTCAGCATCATACTGGAGCCTCTACCCAGGACAGTTACACTAGAAAAAAAAGAATAGATTGGCAAAAAGAAGTAACAATATTTCTATTTTCACATGATTTTGTCTTACAGATAGACCCTTAAGGAGTGAAAGAAGGAATACAGAGACAAGTTCAGCTAGGATACAGTATAACAGACAAGAACTAATCATAATTCTATATTATTTTATACACTGACAATGTGAAATATGATTCCATTTTCAGGTCTATAAAAA